GAGCGGGCGTGCTGACCCCCATCCCGTGGGCTTGTGGGCTGGTGCTGGGTCGCAAACAGCACCGTGGACATGGGGCAGCTCGGGCTTTGGGCACGAGGAGGTAGCGGCTTGGGAAGGGCAGTGCCGGGAGGGCAGTGGCGGCCTGGACAGCTGCCTGCAGCACACCGGCTCCCTGGGGACGGCGCCTCAGATGCAGAAGGTGCAGCCACCCCCTTCCTGGTGAGTACGCGGAGGATGAAGTGCCTGCCACCCGGTCCTTTGGGAAGTGACGAGCCATGTTTGCAGTGGAGCTCGGGGGCAGTGCTGGGCGCAGCAATCTGGCCTTGGTGCTCTCACGGGTGTCTGTTTCCACCCGGACATTCAGTGTCTCCATGCTTCTGGCACAAAACAGGCACACAGGTCATGGGACAGAACAGAATAAAGCCACGCCATCGGGGAGAGAAAGTCTATTCAATGAATGGTGTCGGGAGAACCGGACAGAAGATGAAATTGCCAGAACCGTGCTGTTTTGATTACTGTGGCCTCATAGTGTAGTTCGATATCAAGCAGTGTGATCCCTCCCACTTTGTTCTTTCTCAAGGTTTCTTTGGCTGTTTGGGGTCTTCTGTAGTTCCGTATAACTTTTATGGCCAGTCCTAATTTTGAGCAGAACGCCATTGGCGTTGTGACGGGGGTTGCACCGACTGCTGCTGCTTCACGTTGCGAGGACATTCGAACAGCGCTGCCCCTTCCGTGAGCACGGCGTGTGCTTCCATCTGCTCGTCTCCTCAGTTTCCTGCTTCGGTCTTCACAGTCTTCTGAGTACAAGTCTTTCACCTCTTTGGTTAAATGTATCCCTAGGTACTTTAGGCTTTTTGATGCAATTATAAATGGAATTGTTTTCTTAATTTCTCCTTCCGATCGTTCGTTATTGGTTTATAAAAACGCAAAAGACTTCTATATTTGAGTCTGTATCCTGCAGAACTTTTCTGAATTCATTGATGAGTTCTAATAGTTTTTTTGGTAGGGTCTTTAGGGTTTTCTATATGTGATAACATGTCATCTGAAAATAATGATAGTTTTTTTTCTTCCTTTCTGATTTGGACACCTTTATTTCTTTTTCTCGCCTCACTGCTCTGGCTAGGACTCCAGTACTCTGGAATGCGACCGGTGAGAGCGGGCAGCCTCATGTTGGCCCTGATCTTAGAGGAAAGCTCTTAGCTTTTCCCTCTTGAGTATGGTGTTCGCTGCGGGTTTGTGGTATGTGGCCTTTGTTATGTCGAACTATGTTCCCTCTACTCCCACTTTGCTGAGAGTTTTTATCATAAAAGAATGTTGGATTTTGTCGAACACATTTTCTGTATCCACTGAGATGATCACGTGGTTTATCCTTTATTCTTTTAGTGTGATGTATCATGTTGATGGGCAGGTGCTGAACCACCTTGGCAGTCCTGGCATGAATCCCACTCGGTCATAGAGTGTGATGCGTCAATGTGCTGCTGAATCTGGGTTGCTGCCATTTGGTTGACAAGTTTGCGTCCATGTCCATCACGGACATTGGCCTGTAAGTTTCTTCTCTTGCAGTGTCTTCATCTGGCTTTGGTGTTCGGGCACTGCTGGCTTCAGAAAGTGAGTTTGAAAGTGTTTCTTCCTCTTCAGTCTTTTGTAGTAGTTTAGGAGTAACGGGTCTTACTTCTTCGATGAGTGTTTGGTAGAATCACCTGTGAAGCCGTCTGGTCCTGGCCTCGATTTGCTGGACATCTTTCATCATTGCTTCAATCTTATTGCTAGTAATTGGCCTGTTTAGATTTTGTATTGTCTCCTGGTTCAGCCGAGGAAGGTTATATACTTTTAGAAATATATTTATTTCTTCTGAATTGTTGAATATGTTGGCATATAAATTGTTCATAGTATTTTTTCATGATCTTTGTATTTCTGTGTTGTCGGCTGTAACTTCTCTTTCATTCATGATATTATTTATATGGGACTTCTCTCTTTTTTTCGCTTGATGAGTTTGGCTAAAGGTTTGTCTATTTTATTTATCTTTTCAAAGATACCAGCTTAGTTTTATTGATCTTTTCTATTTCTTTTTTCTTTTTTTTTTAAGTTTTTTATTATGCCTACAGCACCTGGTCTTCCTAGGTGGTCTCCCATCCAAGTACTAACTAGGCCCGACCCTGCTTAGCTTCTGAGATCAGACATCGGGCCTGTTTAGGGTGGCATGGCCGTAGACCATGGACCGTGGCTCCACTCGGGCGTGAACCGAGGACTTTCTGCATGTAAAGCAGACGTTGTGGCTGTACACCATGGACCATGGCTCCACTCGGGTGTGAACCGAGGACTTTCTGCATGTAAAGCAGACGTTCTAACCACTACACTATAGAGCCACGTCCAATCTTTTCTATTTCTTAAATTTCTATTGTGCATATTTCTGCTTTGATCTTTATTATTTCCTTCTTTCTACTCACTTTGGGTTTTGTTCTTTTTCTAGTTCCTTCAGGTGTAGAGTTAGATAGTTTATTTGGGATTTTTCCTATTTCTTGAGGCAGGCCTGGCTGGCAGTGATGCACTGCTGCGGTGCTCGGTGGACATTGTGCATTATTAGGCCACCTGAACAAAGCACTGCAAACTGTGTGACTTAAACAGTAGAAATTTGTTGTTTCAGCCCTGGGATCTAAGTGTCTAAGATCGAAATGTCAGCAGGGCTGGCTCCTTTGGAGGCTGGGAGGGAGACTCTGTGCCACGCCCCTTGCCTGGCTCCTGGGAGCCACAGCCTTCGGGGCCCCTCAGCTTGGAGCCGCATTGCCCGCTCTCCGCATATGGCTTAATGACATGTTCTGAGACAAACACCTTTGTGTCTACTGCCAGGTCTCTCGAAGTGCACTCGTCACCCCGGAAGCCCTTTTCCTGCACCCTGTCCCAGTCATGCTCCTGCACCCACCAATAAGCGACAGTTGTCCTGATTTTATAGTGGTCAATTCCCGATAGTTTGCAGCAGGCCCTGAGGTGCCTCGGCTTGGTCACGCCTGGTAGAGAAATCACCGCCCCCGCGGCCCCTCCGAGCACAGTTTGAACTGCACGGTCCACTTACGTGCCGGTCTTTTTCAGTTGGCTGAGTGTGTTCTCTCTTCCTCATGACCTTCCTAGTGACGCGTTCTTTTCTCCAGTGTACTGTGCGAACACAGTGCACGACACCTGCAACGCACAAAATACATGTTACGTGACTGTTCATGGTGTCGGTAAGGCCCCGCTCAGCGGCAGGCCACTAGTCGTGAGGTCTTGGGGGGGTCGCATGTTATCCGTGGGTTTTGGACTACGGGGGTGGGCACCCCTGACGCCTGCCTTGTTCAAGGGCCAGCTGTGCTTAAGTCTCTCCTTTTTCTGGAGGCTCAGTCATTGGTGTTTTTGTCTGTTTACAATTGTTGAGAAACACAACAATTTACCATCCAGCCATTTGTAGGGCCATCGAGGGTCCCCATCCCCAGAAACCGTCCCCATTGAACAGCGCCCCATGTTTAAGTCTCCTTTGAGCTACAGGTCCCTTGTCCATTCTTTTCTTTCTCTTGTAATTTGGGGAGAACCTGGGCTGTTTGCCTGTAGAGCTTCTCACAGCTGAGTTGTGCAGACCGTGCCCTCAAGGTCAACATGTCTCTCTCTTCTGTCTGAATTTCTTGCAAATTGGCAGCTGGATTCAGAGGCAGGATCAGACTGTGGTTCAGCCCCTTTGGCAAGACTGGGAGGCACATGCTTCTGGTTTTCTCTGTCCTGTGACCTTGGCAGCATTGATGCTCAGTGCCTGGGGGCAAGTTGGCTGATGCTCTAATTCTCTCATTTCTTTGTCATTGATTAGCTGGAACACCTTGATTGGAAGAAGTCCCCCTCCTCTACTGTCTGCCCGCCCCGCAGTGCGGCTCACTTCTGGACAGCAGGGTCGGTCCTGGACTCGTTTGCTTGTAGGCTGTTTGTTCCCTGTCACCTTCCCGAGGTGACCCTTTCTTTTATAAGTGTTCATGGATTTTAACAGATTTGAGGGCTTTCGATTCATTGCAGTTATTATCATTACTGAAGCTCCAGCTGCATCATTTTTGGCAGTGGGAGCCTCTGAGCTCTGGGTCCTTTGACGGCTGACATTCTAGGCTTGTCTCATGTATTTCTTGCCCCAGCATTCCTCCATAAAGCCCGTCTCCTTCGGCGAGAAATCATCTTTTAATAAGACAGCAGCTTGGTGCTGGGGTGTTCCTCACGCCGTGGCGGTCGCTGCTCCTGGGCCTTTGCAGCAGACGCGTGCGCATGCATGCCAACGCAGCCGAGTGAGCACACGGACCCCAGACCACAGTAGAAGTCCCCCTCCTCTACTGTCTGCCTGCCCCACTCTCCTCTCGCCGCGTCCGTTCTCCCAGCCCGAGAGCCTGGCTCTCAGGCCTGACAGGCGAGAATCTCCCACACTTGCTGTTTTGCCTCCTGTAACGCACGCAAGCCTAACGCTGGAGCAGCGCCGGCGCCGCCACCACCTGCAAAGTGGCAGAACACGCGCGCCGGAGTGCTCCCGGGCCTCCTGCTGCCTCAGCAGTCGCGTGCGGTGTCTGCCCTGGGTGGGCGGCAGTGCGTGCCTGTGGATGCGGTGCCCCTCCGTGCTGAGGTCGCACCTCTGCTCGTTCTGGCTGTCGAAGCTCGTTCTCCATTGGGTCCCACGGGGGCCCTGGGACCTGACCCTGGTCTCTGCTTCTTGGTGCTTTTATACTTGATGGTCAGTTTTGCTGTTTATAAAATTCTTGGTTCGGATGTCTTTGACTCTCCTGCTGCCCCAAACTACCAACCATCTAGCTTTTTAGTGGGATAAAATGTTATTTGGGAAAAAGAGTTATTGGTCTCCCAAGAGACAGGGGTGGGCTTTTGCTTATGTGCCCCCCGCCGGGGTGTAGGGCCATGCCGAGGCCAAAGCCCTGGCAACAGGGCCTCGGGACTCGAGGTGTGGACAGGCTGCCTGGCGTCGGTCTCAGTGGGGACACTGAGCTATCTGTTGGTTTCTTGCAGCTGCTCAGATGGAGGTTAAGAAGCCCTTCATCCTCTCCGCCATGAGGCTTCCCCTTCTGGACACCAACAGCAAGGTAAGACAGGGCCGCCGGGCTCCCCAGCGAGTGACTATAGGGAATATGGCCCAGCCAGCATCTGAGGCCACCACTGAGCAGGCAGCAGCCCCTTGGGCCAGACCTAAGCATCAGGGGGTGCGCAAGAGCAGGGACCTCCCACATCTCAGTCCTGACACGGTCCCCTAGGTGTGACGTTAGTCTCCAAAGTTACCCTCAGGTTAGAGAATTCTCTAGGAGGGCTCCAGAACCATGAGAGCTGTCACTCACAGTTATGGCTTGTCACACTGAGCAGACGCAGCAGCCTCCTCCAGGGGAAGAGGCTCAGTCATCTACTCCTGTGGCAGCAATGTGGCAGCTCTCACGGAGGCTGCCACCCCAGAAGCCCCAGCCTGCATCCAGGGTCTTTATCGGGGATGCTGGCACGTACTCCTGGTTGGCCGCCTGTGTGGCTGACCTCAGTCTCCAGCCCCCCAGGAGACCAAGCTGGTATTGCGTGGCCCTGGAGAAGGTGCCAGCTCTGGGAGGAGGGTGACCTGGCTGTGCCCCCAGGTGGAGTCACTGAGGCGGGTTGGTGGAGAGTCAGGACTCCAGGCGTTTGGCAGCTGCAGATTGTGTGTCTGGAGCAGAGAAGCACGAGTCTGTGCCGGGAGGGGCGGGAGGTTGCAGGGCAGGAGAGCAGCCCCCATGGGAGCACATCCACAGGCTGGCGAGGAGGCCACCTCTGTGGCCTGGGGCCATGAGGAAGGTGGGGCTGGGTGGGCGCCGGTAGAGGTGCAGATATTCCTGCCTGCGCAGGTAGGTGTACATTCAGTCATAGGCACAGCCGCAGGCAGAGGAAAGGGTAAGATTCGTGCCCCCAAGCCAGGCTGTCTGGGGGCCGTGCCTCTGAGGCCGCTCCCTGCTCGGTTCTGCGCAGGTGAAGCGGGCAGTGGTGCAGGTGATCAGCGCCATGGCGCACCATGGCTACCTGGAGCAGCCTGGAGGCGAGGCGCTGGTCGAGTACCTCGTGCAGCAGTGCGCGCTGCCCCCCGAGGTGGAGGTAAGGGCCACGGACCCTGCTCCCGGCTGCGAGCTGTCAGCTGGGTGGGGAGCAAAGTCCCTGGGAGCTGCTGGGCCCCAGCCAGAGCATAGGCACGTAGGTGACTATGGCCTCGGGCGTGTGCCCTGCAGCGGCCCTGGGTTCCAATTGGGGTGCACTGCCTCTGCTGCAGGACCAGAAGGGGGAGGCCAGACAGGCCCTCAGCTCTCTGTGGGCTTTTCTGTTTCGAGCGACCGAGCAGACCCAGTTCCTTGCAGAGGGGGCAGAGTAGATCGAGGCGGGTGGGCAGGCCGCTGGCAGGGCTAGTGGGGCTGCCGCGCTGTATTCTGGGGTGAAGAGCCCTCTCGGTGCTGGAACCGATAGACTCCCGCAGGGGATGTGTTCGCCTCATTCCTTTGGATGCAGAGGGTTTGACTGTGAACTCTCGATCCCTCGCCAGCATTTCGAGGCGGAGGGAAGCTGAGGGATCTAAGTCATTTTGAAAGCAGCGGCTGCTTGCTGGGCGGGGGCAGCAGGAGGCAGCCGGGATGGACAGTCGAGCCTTCGCTGTATCAGTCTTTCTACTTTTGTGTATATTTCAAAATGTCCGTGACAAAATGTTTAAAACCCAAGAAGGATGGTGTCTCCGAGACGGGTTGGCCTGATCTGCAAAGGGAGGTGAGCAGTGTGGCAGAGGCCCAGCCGTGGGCCTTCAAGGGCGTGGGCGCAGAGGCCAGCAAGCCCCGTGTGGGCTGCGGGCCAGGCAGGGCCAGGCGGGTCCCGGCGCCGGGGGAGAGCGGAGGGGCCCCAAGCCTCCGCTAATCCTTGGGTTCCCCCAGAGCGTCTGCAGAGAAGTCTGTTGAGATTAGAATGGCTTATCACTTATTATGATTTTGCCGTCTCGTCTGTGCTCTTTCCCCCAACGTGCTCTACAAGCCGGAGCTGCCGAAGCGTGACTGGCACACAGCAGGAGGCTCCTTTTTAAGTGTGCCGTTGAGTTCATGGCCACACAGCCACTGCCACGTCACGTCACGTCAGGACGCTCAGCATGCCAGCACCACAGACTCCTTCTGCCTCCTTGTGGCCACCTCTCCGCCTTGAGGCCCTGGCCACTGTCACCTGTCCCTGAGGTTCACCTTTTCTGGAGTGTCACGTAGACGGAATCGTGCGGCTCAGAGCCCTCCGAGTCTGGCTTCCTTCTTGTGTATCCGCCGTGTGAGCGTTTGAGCCCTCTGCGTTGTCACATAGATCGGTCATTTGTTCGTTCTCACTCTGGGTAGTGTTCTGTTGTCTGCTTGTTTGTCCATCACCAGCGCTAGGACAGTTACATGGCTTCCAAGGTGGCTGTGATGAATAAAGCCCAGGACCCCTCAGGGGAGGGGGCCGGGCGTGCGCTGGTCCACCGTGGGTGAGGCCCAGGGATGCGGCCGCCGCGGCTGCCGGGAGGTGTGTGTTTGACCTCGTGGAAGCTCCCACTGTCTACCGAGGCGGCCGCAGCGCTTTGCACGCCACGTCTGTGAGCACTGGGGCTTTTAGTCAGTGTTGTGTTTCTGTTTTAAGCTTTTCCAGCCGGTTGTTATCTCGCTGTGGGTCTCACTGGTTTTGAATTGGATTGCTTGTTTTCTTGTATTGAGTGTTCTTTGTACATTCTAGTACAAGTCTTTTGTCAGATTTGTGGTTTGAAAATATTTTCTGACAACTCCATTGTGTGCTTGTCTTTATTTTCTTAACGGTATCTTTCAAAGAGCAGAAGTTTTAATATTTTAGAAGTCCCGCGTCTCAGTTTTTTAGCTTATAGATCATGCTTTTGGTGTCCTAGCTAGTAAATCCTTGCTTGAGCCAGGGTTGGGAGGGTTTTCTCCTGGGTTTTCTTCCAGAAGTTTTAAGTTTTAGGGTTTACATTTAGGTCTGTGATCCATTTTGAGTTCATGTTGGTTTGAAGTGCGGTGTGGGTTGAGGCTTGTTATTCTGCTTATTGTCCCAGCATGCATGTTGAAAAGACTCTTCTTCTGCATCGAGGAATTGCCTTTGCATCTTTGTCAAAAATCAAGGGACCCTGTGGACTCTGTTTCGCTCCGGTAACCTGCGTGTGTCCTTCTGTCTGCACAGCCCGTCATGCCACAGGTGCGGCGTAGGTTTCCAGGTCCAGCGGCGTGAGCTCTCCGGCCCCGGCCTTCTTTCCTAACTGTACGGCGGTTACAGTTACGGTTCTTTGGCTTTTTTTCCACATGGATTTTAGAATCATCTCATTGATTTCTACAAAAATGAGCCTGTCGCGATGATGGCTGGGGTTGTGGTGACTGTGGACCATCTGGGGAGAGTCGGTACCTTCATGACGTCGTGTCCCTCAGTCCACGGAAGCGCTCCTCTCCACATTTACTCTGGCCTTCTTGGACGTCTTTCTTCAGCTTTTGTGACTTTTAGCATATAGATTCCATACATATCTTGTCAGATGCGTAACTGTCTTATCTTTAGTGCCATTTTAGTCGTGTGGTTTTGTTCATTTCAATCTTCTATTGTTCGTTGCTTGCGTGTGGCGCTGCAGCTGACTTTTACAGGTCAACCTTGCTTCCTGTGGCTTTGCCGTCAGAGTCTGCGGGACTCTGCATGGAACGTCGTGTCTTCTTCCTTTCCAGTCCAAGCGCCTCTCATTGCTCTGCCCAGTTGCATTGCCTGGAACCAGCAGTGCAGTGCTGAGCATGAGTGCTCTGTTTCCATCTGGGGTGGGGGGCACAGTCTTTTACTGTGAAGACCCTGCCCTCAGCCCTTGGACCTGGGTGATTGCTATGTAAATGCCGACTGAGCCCTGCAGCCCCAGGACAAACCCTGCTGGGTCACGACTTGCCCTGTGCATATGTTGCTGGGTGTGATTCGTGGCGATTTCGCTGAGACATCTTCATCTCTTCAGGAGGGATGTTGGTCTGTACTTCCTTGTACACTCTTTTACTGGTATCGCTAGACCTTCATTAAGCGAGTTTGGATGTGTTCCCTCCTCCTCTAGTTTCTAGAAGCAAGACGGCAAATGGGTGTGGGGGACTAAACCCCGCACCTAGAGAAGAGGAGGGTCCTTTAGGAGAGTGTGGAAAGAATTCAACACACGTGCTGAAGTTAGAGTCCAAAGGCAGAGTGACAGGGACCAAGGGAGACGTGGGAAGGCAGTGAGTAGGGGCAGAGCAAAGAGCACTGAGAGGAAGACCGTGAGAGGGACCCCAGTTTCTCCATCGTCCTTTCGTTCCTGTGAGTTACAGTTTACAGACTCTGTTTCCCCGTTTCCTTCGCTGTGGACACGCGGTGAGGAAGGGGGCGAGGATGTGGGTGGAAAGGTAAGAATGTGGAGCGAGAGAGGCCTGCTGGCCGTGCCCAGCCTTCGACGCGTGTGTCCCGTGGTTTCGGCCGCAGAGAATGACTCTTGGTCCCTGTTTCCCCGTCAGGGTGTGGGGAACGGGCTGTTGGCGACCCCAGCGGAAGCCTCCCTTCGTCCTGCGGGCGTCCGCCTGGCGGCGCTGCTGTGGGCTGCGGGGCTGACCCGCACGGGGCAGTCTCTGAGTGAGGCTTAATGAGCATTTTAATTCTCTTGTCTCCTCCCTACCTTAGAAGCTTCTGTGAAGATTGGTGTTACTTTTCCTTAGGTCTTTGGTAGAATTCCTCAGTGGAGCCATGGCCTAAAGGTTTCTTTGCTGGGAAGTTTTTAACCACAAGTTCAACTTCTTTAATAGACAAAGGACTATTCCAGTTATATGTTTCTCTTGAGCGAGCTTTCTAGGTGAGCAGCTGTTCACGGCTGCTGTGGATTCATAACTTCATCGCACGGTCTGCGTCGAATCTGGCCGAGTGTATTTCCGCTTTTAAGTTTGTTGAGATATTTTTTTTGTCCTAGTGGATGGTCAGGCTTTCAGAGTTGTTTTGTTTGGTATAAAGAGTATTTGGTCCATTTTCAGAGTGTGTTTTAAAAATTGTTATTCGAAGCCTAAGCATCCCTGTGTTTTCTCTGTGGCCTTTGGTCTCTACGCGAGAGGTGTTGACAGGTGGCGCAGCTGTCACAGCCGCGGGCTTACTCTTGCTCGGTGCTTGCTGTTGGTATTGAGAAGCGTGAGAGCGAGGCACAGCAGAACGCTTGGAGCAGAGGCTGTCCCCGTGCCCGCGAGCTTCCCAGGGAGCCGGGCTTGCCAGTCTGCCCATCCTCTACTTTGGCTGCGCTGTCAGGGCCCAGAGCCCACGACCTGCCCTGTAACCTTGGAGGACCAAGGGGTGCGGGCGGCACCACCCTGCTCTGCCTCCCCAGCAGCCTCAGACGGCGGGCCCCAGCAGCGAGGAGCTCCCGGCCGACAGCGTGCGCGCCGTCAGCGTTAGGACCCTCTACCTGGTCAGCACCACGGTGGACAGGATGAGCGACGTGAGTGTGTGGGCGCGGGGCCCCCCCTCCACCGTGACTGACCACTCCCCTCCCGATGTGGGGCCATGTCCTGCAGCACAGGCCCGACCGTCCTGAGCGCACAGTGCCTGCGGGGGGGAGCCCCTCCTAGGCTGTCGCCCCTGCAGCTGTGCTTCCGAGACAGACTGCGGCGCTGCCCCCAGGTCCTCTGGCCGTACCTGCTCGAGTTCGTCACCCCTGTGCGCTTCACTGGGGCGCTGACCCCGCTCTGCCGGAGCCTCATGCACCTGGCCCAGAAGAGGCAGGAGGCCGCGCCCGGCGCCCTCCTCATCCAGTACGATGGCAACGGTGAGCGAAGCCCGTGACAGTCCACAGACCCAGTTGCGACCCCGGCCCCTGCCCAGGGACTCTGTCCCCTTCCTGGACCCCGCCCCAGACCCAAGCCCTGCCTTCAGGCCCGCCCTGCCTCCGCCCCTCCAAGCCCTGTCACCCACCCCGTCCGTCGTCCCAGATCCCCAGTCCGCCCCTGAGTGTGTTGTCTCCTTTGCAGTGACCCTGCCGTCTCCCTACGCCATAGCCACACGGCTCCTGGTAAGCAGCGTGGCGCCGCGCTCTGCTTTCACCTCTCCTGACAGCCGGCGCCCTGCGAGGGACGGGCTCCCTCTCGTGGCGGGCGGGGGTTCCCATCCTCGCACCCTCATGCCGAGGACAGGCCGGTGCCTCGCGTCTCGGGGCGCTGGTTGCCTCCATTCCCGCGCCTGTGGACGGTGGGACGGTCTGGCGGTGCTGCGAACTCCCTCCTTCACCTCTCACAGACCGTGTCCTCCAGTCCCTACCATGGGGACGGCCGCGGGGCGGCCTCACTGGGCCTCCTGAACGTCCTGCACCGGGACATCCACCCTTCGTTGGGTCAGCGGTGGGCGACAACCATCCCCTTGCTGCTGGAGTACCTGGACGGTGAGGGGGTGGTGCGGACCCCTCCATCTCTGACTCCGCTTCTGCCAGTCGGCGGCAGCGCCAGCCTGTGGGGACCAGGGTGTTGTAACTTGGGAGAAACAGCCCTCGTTGTGGTTCAGGGAAGGGTCTGGACAGCAGGCCAGAGGGCGCTTCCTGCTGGGTATCCCCTGGGAGCTACCTGGGATGTGAGCCAGCTCAGGCTTTCTTCTTGCACTGGAAGAGCCCGCAGGGCCTGGGCCAGGTATGGGGTGCTGGCGGGGTCTGGGAGGGCAGCTGAGCACCCTACTCCTGACGGGCCACCTGCTAGGCTGACTGGCGACCCATGATTTCAGAACACTCTGCGGACACCCTGTCACAGAAGGAATGGGAGGAAAAGCTGCTGGTGGTGAGAGAAGGCGGAGACCGCGGGTGCCGCCTGTCCTGGGCGTGGAGACCTTTTCTGGCCTGTGTGGGGACAGCTTGGCACACTGTACCTTCCTAGGGTTGTATTGCTTGCCTTGACCTAGTGATGTTGCTGGGGGAGGCACAGGGGGACCGGCGGGTTTCTCTGGGTGAGGACGATCTGCATCCCCCACAGATTTCCCATCCTGCTGTGACAGCCAGGCAACGGGTTTTGGACTGCCTCTGCCAGCCTCTGTCCTGGACACTGCTGGGCCCAGGACTGTAGCCCTAGCCTGTTGTGTGTCTGACTACACAGGGTTCTCTCTGCCTGGACTCAAAGGTCACCCAGAGACCACTCAGAGCCATGGCATGGCGCCACCCTGAGGTCACTCTGGGACCCCTGGGCTCGGGCCCTCACTGGTGTTGCTTCTGCCCGCAGTTTCTTCGGGACACTCTGGCCGCCGTGTCTGACAACACGTGGGTTTGTCAGCTGAGCCTGGAGATGTGCAAGCAGCTACCCTGCTACAATGGGACACCTCAGGAGAAGGTGACAGGGAGGGGGACATCCTAGGAGAAGGTGACAGGGAAGGAGATGCCCTAGGAGATGACAGGGAGAGGGACGCCCCAAGAGGTGACGCCCCAGGAGAAGGTGTGGGGGCCAGCCTGCTGGAGTTTTCTGGACATGGTCCTTAGGTCCAATTTCCTGTGTCTTGATTGTGTCAATTGCTGCTTGAGTCTGTCTTTTGGCTCTTGTGGCCCTGCCGGAGCCAGGGAGAGACGGCCTGTGAGCTGTCTCATGGTGGCTGGTGGCTACGAGACGCAGGAGCCACGGTGCCCACTGCCGTCTCCTCAGACCCCGCCCAGGACTCACGTGCTCTGTGCAGTGGCCCGGGCTGCAC